ACCCCGGGGCAGAGCAGAGGGGCAGGATCACCCCTCCCCATCTGCTGCCCACGCTGCTCTGGGTGCAGCCCAGGACACGACTGGGGTGTGGGTGGTGGGCTCACCTCCAGGACCCCAGGGCTGGGTGAAGAGGTGCCCAGGACCGAGGGCAGTTTGGTCTGGGGTATCTCCAGGGAAGAAGACCCCCTGGGCTGGAGGGGGCTCTCAGCAGCACAAGAAAGGCACACTGAGCAAGGCAGGCAGGCAAGCGAAGCAAGAGCCAGCTTTAAACCTTCTGCAGAATAAAACTGAGCCTGTGTGGCTACCACAGCATAGCAGGAGGTAAATCTGGTAAGTGTCCACTTCGCCTGGTGACCTTGCAACCAGGCCAGAGACACTGATTCCTATCACCAGGCCTAGCTGTCAAAGTCCCACCAACAGCCTCCCCCAAACACACCAAACCACCACACACTCATCAGCTGCCACTTCAAAAGCTGACCACAGCTTGTCACTCACTCACAACTGCTCGTCCTGCCTTGGGGTGTGCTTACACATGAGACCAAGGCAGGACTGGAACCACCCTGGCCACTCTAGGAGTCATAACAGCAGCTAGCTCATGAGCTGCCTGTCAGTTTAGTACAAATTAACCTGCTGCTGTCCCACCCAGTTTCTCCAACCCAGTTTCTCAATACCAACCCAAATGTGAAAAATCTTCACTTTATGACAGGCTTTTCTACCTCTGGGAGTCTCAAAGAGAACAAATCAAGGTGAGACAAAGCCTTCAAAACAAAAAAAAAAGTAACCTGCATACCACTTTGGACCTTCTGAAGCCTTTTGGTAAAAAAAAGTCCACTCAGAATTATTCATCTGCCAGATCTCACTCCCAGCAGCACTGGTAGGCAGACACAAACCTTTCCTTCTTCTGGTGGAAGTCTGCCTCAGTTCTCCCAAGGTTCTAAGCAACTGAAAACATCTGCCTTGGTAGAAGATGTGCTTGACTCTACACATAAAACCATATGGCTAGAAGCTAAAATACATAGATTCATGTTAAGTCTTCCTAAGTTAATGGCAACATGGATGAAAAAGCTTTCAGTTTTTATGACAGTTTTTTCTGTGTCCCCTGATTTCAAGGATCCATTATTTTTTCTCTAAACCACACTTGCTTTTGGCTAAAAAAAAAAAAAAGCCCAATCAAATATATCCCAGTAATCCCTGATTTGTTTCCATTTCACCTACAAAGTGTCTCAGGTGTCTGTTAAGGATGTGAAAAACAGCATTACAAGTCTTTAAACATCAGGTAACAAAATCCAAGCCTGTGAAGTAATGACTAAAATAAGATCAGTTATGTAAGCATCAAAGTTGTCACTCAAAGCCTTATCAGCTCAGTGCTGAGGCAAAACAGGAATCTTACACCCTGTCTCTAGTGTTTTCAAACCCAAATTATCAGTCATGATCCAATGAAACAATTTCCAGCTCTCCTGTGAACAGCACACAGCGATACAACCATGCCATTAAAACACATTCTCAAGAAACCAGCCAAGGAAGCTCAGTGTTCCAAGGCCATCTGGTGCTGTTCCAGCACACGAGACACCACAACAGCTTCTCAAGCCTGGACACCACTGGCTGAGGCCCTTCTTGCCTTGCTAGACTGAGGGCTATGTGCTCTGCTCAGAGCAGTGACCTGATTTCTGAGCAATGGCTTGCTAGCCTCCAGCCTTGTTGCCACAGGCAGGAGTGGGTTCAGCCACGTTCCCACCCCGTGGGTTGCTCCTGGTGCTGCCTGCTGCTGGTCCTTGCCCCCCACCCCACAGAGGCAGCTGGGCACAGGAGCCTGCTTCACTCAGCCTGCAGCACTCTGGGCAGCAAGCTGTCCCCAAGGGGACTGTCCTCCTGATGCTGCAATCCCCAACCACACCAGCTACCTCTGCTCCAGGAGACCCCAGCTGCAGTTTCTGAGGAGCCCCTGCTCTGCTGGTGATGCTGAGCAGCACGTCACATCCACCTCCTGCAAACACTGACAAGGCCCAGAGCCCACCTGGACATGCCCTTTCCTTCCCACCACAGCCCTGACAGCTGGTAGGTTCCCAGCTTGCTAGAGAAAAGGTCAAACCATCAAGAACAACCCTGGCAAAAAATAAGATGTTGAGTGTAGATGCAGTGTCCTGCCTGACAGGGCTACAAGCTGCAGCACACCTTCCCCAGCACGGGGCACTGCTGGGGCCCAGCTGGACAGCACAGGGACAGCTTCCTGGCCAAAGCCTGGTCTAGACAAAGGCTGGGTCAGATGATCATTGAGGTCCTTTCCAACCCAGTATTCCACGATTCTGTGACCCTCTAGCCCCCACCAGCCCAACGCCCTCCTCATATGCACAAGTCTCCCCAAAACCAGAGCTTTGTCTGGAGAAACAGAGTAAACTTTACTTCAGGATCAGGGAATTGTTTGGGCTGGATGTCTCCCTGGCCTTCAGGAGCCAGACACATTCAACCAAACATTCATCTTCAAAACAAAACACCTATGGAGTTGAAACTACAAGGCAAGCAAGTGGACAGCCAAGCAGAGAGCAAAGGCTAGTCCAGGTCTGGTGCCCAGCCCAGCAGAGCAGCAGCAGGGGAGAGCCTGAGGCCCGTGGAACGCTCGGCTGGGGGGGCTCAGTGGGACATGCAGGAGCCAGCATGCACGAGGGGCAGGGACAGGGCACGGGGGGGCACTGACAGCCAGGAGCCCTGCCAGGCTGTGCTGGGGGCACGGGGAGCAGAGGGCACCCCCGTGCAGAGCGCCAGGGGGTCACACACAGCAGCCTCACAGCAGGGGAACGCCGCAGAACACACTGCAGTGTGTGCAGGGCTGTGTGTGCTACAGACACACACCTGTGTGTATAGATACACACACTGATGTACATGACACAGAGTGGCAGTCACAGCACAGAGTGGAGAGGTTTGCTCACCATTAGCAAATATCCTATGAAAGACTGTTGGCAACAGAGCAGCCCGTGAGCGGGAAGTAAAACGAGATAAAGTCAATGAGCTGATGAAACAGCAAGCACTCCACACAGCCAGCCAGCTCAGAGGCATGGCACCACACAGGGCTGAGCACCCTCCCCTGCCTCCAGCCACCCTTCCAGTCATCTGCGTAAGGAACACGACTGCTTCCAAGTGAGAACCAGCCTGGCAAGGGAGACAGGACACCTGGGAACAAGCAGAAGATCACAGCCAACTCTGAGGCTAAGAGGCTGGAAATTGTGCTCGTGCTCTGCAGTCCCTTAGCCCCTCGTTCAGCAGACAATCCAATCCCCCTTCCTTACATCCCAGCAGCTTCTCCAGGGCATCCATCGTGGCAGCAGAACCCACACCTATACACTTGGCCACAAGATTTAACAACAGAGTTAATACCAAGACTGTCTCCTGGCACCTTGGCCTGGGAAGAGAGACCCTGGGCAGACTGCAATTAAACATTTAATGAATCCTAGAGGCCAGGCATGTTGAAGACTGCAAAGCATAAGGACCAGAGTGCCTGGAGACACTCTGTGAAGATACACCAGCACAACACTGCACTGCTCCACTGGACGTCTCACTCAGCACACACCAACACACTGAGGTGTCTCAGGGGCACCAGAGGACATTACAAGTCACTCCAGTTTGAGGCCTCAGTTCTGTTAGGGCACTCCAAGAGCTGCCCAGAAGGATTTTTAATTCAAACCCATCACTTCTTTCCCCCTGCAACTGGTTCTTACACTCCCAATGCAAGCCCCAAGAAGCATCTCCCAGCACTGCTGAACACCAGCAAGCAGCAGCACTGAGCACCTTGTTACATGAACTGCTCTCCTTCACACTCAAAGGACAACCTGTCACAGCAGAACGTCTGACAACATGCTCCCTTCACAGCTCCATTTGTCAGACAGCACAGATATGCACAGATGAAACCTGGTGTTGCACATGGATCCTCTGAAAGAGTACAGGGAGAACAACCTGGACCTCTCACAAGGAGTGTTTTCATCTGACCACAGCTCCAGAAAGCAGCTGGAACATTTCTGTCTCTGGGAACACCAGTTTAAGGACTGTAGGTGTCTCTCCTATGCTCATCACAAATTCTCCAAAGCTCCCTGCTCATTTGGCACTTTCCCTTCTGGAATCTATCAACACTGCCCTTTATGGCACTAGAAAAAAAAGAAAACACAACCACAAACAAACAAAAGGTTGGTAAATGGATGGATTATGGGTGGCTTTTGCATTTAAGCAGGATGAGAAATCATCTCTCTTTCCCACTCCCCTTTTCTTCCCCAGATGACCCCAAGCCTGTACAGATCTCATCCCTCTTCCCAAAACTCAATGCAGTAGTCACAGCAGCACTCTACTGCTAAACCAACCTCTGTTCTTCTGCAGTGCACAGGTGGCTCTGGACAGAAAGCCTGCTTCAGAACTTCATGCAGAACAAGAGAAGCAGTGGCCAGTGCTGCCAGCGAGGTGCTCCTGTGCTGGGAAGGGGCAGTGAGGGGTGACAGGCAGGAAGCTGCTCCCGCCCCTCACCAGGCGCTGCAGGAACAGGCACCAGCCCTTCCCCACGCAACACAAGCCTCAGGCACAGCTCTTCTAGTACTTCCTCTCCCAGCAGACAGGAGGACGTTCTGCAGAACACACCAGTAGCTATCTTTCCCCAGGTTTCTGACCCACATTCAGCAAATGTTTTGCTTAAAGCAGAGGGAAGAGTTTTCAGGAGCGTAGCCCAGAACGGTTTGGAAACGGAGACAGTATCCAAGAGGAGCTCATTGTGCACTGAATCACTGTTCCCCCGAAATCCAGGAGAATTACTGCCCCAACGCTTTTCATCAAACATGGGAAAGCTTTTGGATGCCAGTCAGCCATAAGAAATAGCTCCATGAAGCAACAAGCATGAGCCTAACACTGTCAGTGACGCCAAAGCATCCGCCGCTCTAGGGCCCAAAGGTGAAATCAGTCTGCTTGGCTGCTGCTGAGTCAGTGGCACCAAGACCCTGGAGCACAAACACAGCCAACAGTTCTGATGACACTGCAGAGGTAAGAATATGTTCTGCAACACCCACAACTTTAACTTCAGCCCACACCGCAGCCGTGGCTTTCATGTCTGAAGGGCTCCTCTTCTGAAACATGTCCACTCGTATTTACTTCCTCTTTTTACTTAAAGAAGGACCAGAATCTCCCCAACAAACCTCTTCTGAACAGCAGGTTAGCCAGGCAGCCTACAGCTGTGGAGTAGAAGAAAGTTTGCTCAGGAATAACTGCACCTAAGCACTGCTCCTGGATACAGCTGACAGCACCCAGGCACCGCTGCTCACCGAAGGAGCACATCAGTCTAGTTGCCTCTGTCCCTACCCCTACACCTAACAGAAGCAAAGCTCCACAGAACTGGAGTGAGCAGGCAAAGGTGTAGCTCTGTGGAGGTGACTGTGTGTGACTCAGGTGCAAAGAGCTGCCTTCTCTGGCCAGGCTCAGAACAGCACCAGCAGGCAGCTGAACACTCGACGACGTCAGGCTGGCTGATCTGCAGAACCCCTCTCTGGTGAAAAGCCAGGGCTCTAGATACCACTTCAAGTGGTTTGTTTTACAAAGTGCTGGCTACCAACTGGAAAGATTGCAGCTGTGCAGCACTTTAAAGCAGAAAGAGAAAGATCTGTAACACACTCGAGCCTGCAGGAGACCTCCCATCAGTGGCTGGGCGGAAGGCAGGGACCAGCTGTGTTTGCCAGTGCACAGTGGGTCAGGTACACACAACTCTTGGGAACTTCTCCCACCTGGACAAAGCCAGGGAAGGACAAAGTGAACCCCACGATGTCATCAGCCTGTGTAAAGAGCAAGCTACCAAGTTTAGAGGTGGTCAGAGAACTGGGTGTTCCTCTGCCCTGACCCAGGCTCCCTGGGTACACGCACGTATCAGAGATTTGTTAGAGAGAACAGAGACCTCAGCTCTGGAACAAAGACAACACAGGAGTTCTCTGATGGAAAGAGAAGCCAGAGAGTGTGCAGTCTATGAAGAGAGGCTATTTTCAGATGACTGGTGAAGCAGAGCATTCTTTCCTGTATGCTGGCAACATCAAACCCAGAATTCACACAGACAAAACCAACGGGACAGCAAGTGCAGGCCCCTCAGGCTGGGGGATACTCAAGCTGGACAGGGAGAAAACCTGTCACCCAGAAGGCTCTGTCTAGGTGCAACATAACATGTCCTGACTGCAGACAGACTTCTAGAGACACAGGAATAGCAAAGGTGGAAAAAAACAGAGTATGTGAGGATGCACTGCCAGAAAAATGGCTTATTGCCTATGAAATACAACATTTCAGCCCAGGATGGCTGCCTGAACAGGTTACATCTCCACCAAATGGGCCCAAGGCAACCCTGTACCCTGCAGGCCAGGCCAAGGGCATGATGCCAGATGAGGATGCCAAGACAAGCAGCTTGCTGCAGCTAGAGTCTATCAGCTTGAACATAAATGCTAGTTGCTACAAGAAGCATTTGTGTGGCCTCAGTGGACACAGCTCTCAAAGCCTCAACGCTGAGAAGAGAACCCTGTGTCTGTTAACATGAGAAGACTGCAGAGCAGATGAACCCAAGGATAATGTGGACTCAAAACTCGAAGGTTTCAGCACCACTCCTTGAGCCAGTCCCTTGAGACCAAAGCCTGAGGCAGGAGGTAACAAGAGAACCAGCACCCAGGATCTGTCGTCCCTGCACCTGCAGGTGGTCCTACCAACAGCAAACTCTATTACCAATCTCTGGTACAACTGATGTGAAGGAACACGTGTACACATGTACCAGCCACACCAGATAACCCTGAGGATGAGATGCCACCTTCTGCTTGAGCAGTTTGTCTCACAGGGAAAGGTGCCCTCCCACAAGCCTTACCTGACCCGATTTTGATCAGTCCGTTGTGCTGAATGAAGATGGTGTCACAGGTCAGGTTACCATGGATGATTGGGGGATCACAGGAGTGGAGGTAGCTGGAGATTCAGAACAGAGCACTGGTCAGGAGGCTGCCAAGGCCAGGAATCCCTCCCTTCAGCCCTTCCCCATCTCAATCAATCAGGCAGAGAGGCAGGACACATGCAGGGATTTACAATAGCAGGGAGGTACAACTGAGTGACTGCAGATCAACCCATAGGCTGAGAGAGTCATGGAAATTAATCAAGTCTCCAGCAAAGCCTCCAGAACATGAGGGTGAAAAAGCAAGCTTCCTCTGAACACTTCCAAATAAACCCAGGTAGCAGGGGTAAAGAAACCATATCACCCATCCCAATGCTGCTAGATGGGCGCTAAAAAAATTCCATTTTTATACCAAAACTATCAGAGTCCTATTCTGGCCCTGCTCACAGGGCATCCAAGGGGCACTCTGTGCTATAGAAATGTGACCAGTCATGTTTCCCAGCAGGCACAACTAAATCTTTGCAGTGCTGGGGTCCCAGGGATATTGAGGGTACTTGGGTTTTTATGAATCCACAGCACACCAGAGGGCTGCAGCCTGGCCTGCTGAGACTAAGAACACTTCCCTCACTCATCCCATGTGGAATTTGATTTGAGACTTCTTTGCAACATCCTCTTGGTCATGGTTAGATCTAGGTTATGAAGCTCTGGAGAGCTCCCTGATGCTCTGCTCTCACACTCACTATCCTATCACTCACAACTGCTGGTATCTAAAACCTGCATTGCACCCACGTCTCTATTTTAGAGGCTTCAGTATTCTCTAATTGAAGACTCCAGGACTGTTCCAGGAAGTGCAGTTGAGACTCTGCATCCACGGCTGGGTTAAGAATCGTGCTGGTGACTGGAAGTGCTCTCCAGGCTTCACTCCATGGAGCTTGCTAACGTTTGGCAGTACCTGTGCTTACAGCTTTGAACATTCTAGCACAAGAAAGGCTACGCCCAAGGCCAGCAGTAACTCACACACCTGAGTGCAGAGAGGATCTGGGTGCACCATCGCTTCCAGGCCTACAGACACAGGAGCAAAAAGGACAAAAACATTCAAGGAAGGAACTAATCCACAGTTCTGCAGCTCACAGCCTGCTCATAGGGAAGAACACACGCTCCATGCTGCAGCATCTGAGTTTTCACCAGTGCTAGTGTGTAGGAAGTGAGAACTTAGAGGATCAGCACTCTCCTGCTCAGTTGAGTTTCTACAGATCTGTATGGGCCACCTCCCCACACAAGCCCTCCCAGGCACAGACACCCTCCCTCCTTCCTGCATGCACACAGGGCAGGGGACCTGCCTGCCACACTGTACATGTGAAGCTGCAGAACTGCTGGAAACAAAGCAAGCAGTCCAGAGCAGCTCCCCAAGAGACCCTGCCACTAAACAAGTTCACAGCAATAAGGAGGGACCACAGGCACAAGTTATCACCAGGCTGCCTCCTCGTCAGGACCCTCTGCTGAGTGAGCTTTCCAGAGGCTGACAGCACCAAGTCAATACAGGCATACAGGGGGAAAAAAAAAGCATTACCTTTTCATTCATGGTTTTGTGGTTTTTCTTTGTCTTCTTCAGGAACTGTTTCAAGCTCCCTGAAGACATGTACTCTGTGATAAAGATCACCTGGAGGAGCAGGAGGAGACATCACCCTGTGTCACCGACTGGCACAAGAAGAAAGCCCCACAGACCATTCTCTTTACTTACCCTGGCCTTATTCTCCTTCACATCAGCCCAGTACTTGTGAAACTTCACAATGTTCAGATGTTCCAGCTGAATTAAGTTGTCAAACACCGCTTTAACTTTTTCCTTAACATCAGGACGACAAAGACATGTGAGATCAGAGACCACATCAGCCCATCTCCTACTCTCTTCCCTAAGCACCACCAGATGTTTCAATATCCTACCTAAGAACAAGCAGCATCTGATTGTATCCTACACCACCCCTTAGCTGAGCCTGGTTTGATCACAGAGACTAAATCAACACCAGAGCCCATGGGAAGAGCAGAGCAGCAGTTCTGTCACACCCTCTGCAGAGGCCAGGCTGAATTCCCCTCGCTGTACCTCCTCCTGAGGCCAGCACAGCCACAACCCCACGCTGTGCCCCCCACAAACACACCTGGCAAACACACCAACTTACTTCCTGAAGCTTGAAGTTCTTGCGCTCCGAGAACTGGACCTCGTTCCAGACGACCTCCACGCCCTCCTCGGTGTCCATGGCCAGGTAGGCGCTGTCGATGCCCGGCACGTTGCGCTGGTTCACCTGCATGGCAGGG